TTTCCCCCCCCCCCCCGCGGAACAATGTTTCATTGCCGTTCGTGTTACACGAACGTATTTACTTTTGAGATAGAGCGAAATTTTCGACACGAGGACATTTTATTGTTGCAACGTACGGCAGAAACTTTGGAACGCAAGCTGATTTTAATGCACGTTGAGAATGCAAGTAGATCTCGTCTACTAAGTTCACCGTGATCTCAACGCGGATAATCCCAGATATACGAAATATCAATTCAATTAGACAGAATACAACATGAGGAGCTATCCCGTAGCGCGTAAAACAATAATAGGCTTATCTGTCGTCGTGCAAAATCGAAGCACGAAATGGTGTACGTGACAAACATACTTCAACTGCACACAAATAGACGATAAAATTTCGTGTCTCGGTTTAGTCTTTAAAGGAATTACAGTTCAATCTTTCAAAGTAAAAAAACGTGAGTGAGCTTTAATTTAAAAAGAAAAAAAGAAAGTAAACTTGAGTTAAAGAAAAAATTTTTTATCTTTAATTTAATTAGAGCTACTTATAAATTATTTTGGCTTAACAGCGTTATATTTTTTTTTATGGACTTTATATAGGAAAAAATTATTGAGATCTCGATCGGGACAAATTTTAATGATTAAAGTCTGTTCTAACAATTTTTAAATCTTACACGATTTGCGCTGAAATCGACGTAAGTCAGATTGGTTTTCTATCTGTATAAATAACAAATAAACAAACGTAGAGTCCTCGAATTGGAGATTCTCGAATCCTCTGAAGCCGATTTCTAAACGTCTAACTTTTTCCCAGTTTGAAATTGGATGAATTCACAATGTTGTACAAGTTTCAATGGAGAGCTTCAATCTTCAAAATGATGGCGGATTTAGTCGCGAGAAGAAACTTTTCACGCGTAATTTTTATAATTTTCGAGAAAAAGCGTCATCCTCGATTTTCTCATCAACCGTCACGCGATGCGAAGACATTCTCAAAAGAATCGTACTCACGATTGTCAAAGCTTCGCTCTTTGAAACGAGACCAAAACGGATCGTTGTATGATCTCTCTTTATAATGTTATAACAGTTTTTCATTGTCATTGGTACAGTTACACTGTATGAAATAACATGTTTCATAAAAAAGTTCATGGCTAAGACGAGGAGACGAATAAGAGCGCGTTGTCCTTTGTCGGAGGTTTCATCACGTTCAGCTACTATCACGAATCTCTTTGAGCTCGATAGCACCATGAATTTAAAGACCACCGGTGTATATCTCATTTACATAAAATTGCTCTTTTTACAAACTTTAGCAAGAGTTTTATTAGTATAGGCTGTGGTAGATGCAATCGGGCGCGTTGCTCGCATGTCTTCGACATGATTGTCGTTAATAATCGCGTTCAGTTTATAACATACAGCGTGGGCCAAAAATCACTTCCCACTAAAATAAATCCAACTGTAATTTAATCCTAAGAA